AACTGCATTCATTCAGGTAGGATTAATACCCACCTGCTTCCTGAAGAACCGTAGCGATTGCCTGGCTCCTGCCCCTGGCTGCTGTGATGTGACAGTTTCCGCTACCTGCCTATTTGCTGCCCAGCTTCCTGCGAACAGGCTCTGTTCTCGTGGTCCTTGTTCAGTGCAGACCTGCTAATAATGATAAAGCCAGGCCGCTCTGCCCAGAGCGCTAGCCCGCTGCAGGTGTGGGCACAGGTGCCAGGCCGTGGGTGAGCTTAGTGGGACGGTGATAAAAGACACATGCAGGAAGGGCTTTGGGTGGCCGAAACGCAAGCCCGGGTATTATCTCCTCACCTGTTAATGACCACACACCCCGGAGGTATCAACTAAGAAGTGGTGTGCAGGGGTGGGGGGGCGCCTGAGGCTCAGAGCTGCATTGGTGAGGATGTCCATGATGGGTGTGGAGAGTAGGTGGCGGTAACCCTGCTGGGAAAGCTCTTGCACACTAGGGAGTGAGTCCAGTATCTGTCTCTAGTGGGTTTGGTTGGTGGGGGAGGGAGTTGGGGGGAGGTTGGTAGATCTGAGTCTTTCTTTATTCTCCATTTCTTTGTTCTAGGGTGTTATTTGGTTTCCTGCTTTGGATTTTATGGGCCAGTTTAAAATAAAATTTGAGGGCTGATGTAAAGTAGCTGACCTTTAAATTTGTCCATTAAGGGTGTGTAAAGCAAAAAAAAAACAAAAAACCAAGAAACCATTTACTGGCACTGGCATTGCATTAGAAAGAAAAAGATGTTTTGTCACGAAAGAAGTAGGAGGGACATAACAGTGGAATAGAGAAGTCGTTTATGTGGAATAAATTTGGGGTTAGGGAAGGTAGTCAGTGGTCCGTTGTTTCCCTTCTTTCCCCAGGGCGGGGAGAAAGAGGTGGTGAAAGGCCCACCCCAGTGTTTTACTGCATGTAGGAGGGACTCAGGGAATGATGTTGAAGGGTGGCTGAATTAGTGAACGGTGCTATCGCTCATTTGCCCGCCCTGGTGGGGACTGGTGGGCGGGCACACGCTGCGGTGCCCCTTATATAGGAGGTGCCCTCCTGAGGACATTTATCTCCTTTCTCCTGCCCTCCTTTCCCTTCCCCGTCCTTTTGACCTTCCTCTAAATGGCTGGTGAGGGCATAGCAGGTGCACAGGCATATTCCTGCTCCTAAGATGTGGTCCCTCTGGTTTGCTTTTTGTTTCCTATTGTTTCTGTGTGCCCTAGTGGGCAGGTGTGTTGTAAGAGAGCGAGTCCCCGTGTCTCCCCCTACCCCCCAGGGCCTGGAGAGGGATGGCTGATTGAAAGTGCAGAATGTGACCGCCGTTAATGCAGGCAAGATTAAACACTTGGAATTCACTGATGTCCTCAAATGCTTTGGGCACTAAGGGTTAAAGAGAGCTTTTAGAATTGGGGGCTCCCTGTCATTAAATAAAAGAACAACTCTGTGAAAATTAAAAAAAAAAAAAAAAAGGGAAGCAGAAAGCCTGGGAGAATGCAAGAATGCACAGGACCCAGCTGGGAGTTGTCCCATTGAATAAGGGCCCAGTATGTGCTACGTCTTTAATCCAAGTCAAGGCCCTGACCAGTTGCTTCTAATAATCAGACAGTACTGTATCTGTAAAGCTGTCAGTGAAGGGAGCTCCTAATTTCTTGCTTTGGACAGTGAGTATAGAAATTGCATTTTGTCAATTTCTTTCCTTGGTTTTTATCTCATTTTGTCAGTGTGTTGTTATTTTTATTTTCTTTTAGTTAAAAAACAGTAGATGAATCCATTGTGGTTTTAAAATTCTAACACTACAGAAAAACTTGACCTGCCCCTCCTAATTCTAGACCCCTTTGAAAGATAGATGTAATGAATTTTGTGCATTTACTGTGTTTTGTGTGGAAAACGTCTAGTTTTTATATTACACGAATGATACACAGCTAACCCTTGAACAGCATCGGTTAGAACTGCAAGTGCTCACTTACATGTGGCTCTTTTGTGATGAATATACCATAGTAGTAAATGTATTTTCTCTTTCTTATGATTTTCTTGATAACATTTTATTTTCCCTAGCAAACTTTGTTATAAGAATATAGTATCTAATACATATAACATACAAAATATATGTTAATTATTATGTTGTGGGTAAGGCTTTTGGTGAGTAGTAGGCTATTTGTACTTAAATTTCTGGGGAGTCAAAAGTTATGTGCCGAGTTTTGACTGTGCGGTGAGGGGGGCGGTCAGTGTCCCTAACCCCTGTGTTGTTCAATTGGTAGCTGTATGTGTATTGTTAGACAACCTACTTTTTTTGTATTTCATATATCTTGGAGATCTACACAGGTCATTCCATAAATAACGTCCACACCCTTATTCATGGCTGCATAGTATTCCCAATGTAGCCATGCCATAGCATATAGAGCTGTTTGTAGTTGTATGCTACTACAAATAATGCTGCGGTGAAAACAGAAGACATAATACATGCATCTTCTTGCATGTGTGCATTTATATCTATATATTTATATATTTAAAGTTTATTTTGAGAGAGATTGTGTGAGTGCACAAGCAGGGGAGGGGCAGAGAGAGAGAGAGAGAGAGAGAGAGAGAAAGAGAGAATCCCAAGGAGGTTCAGCACTTTTAGTGCAGAGCCTGATGCGGGGATTGATCTCACAAACTGTAAGATCATGACCTGGTTTGAAATCCATAGTTGGATGCTTAACCGACTGAGCCACCCAGGTGCCCCTGCACATGTGCATTTTTACCTATGGTTTAATACATAGAACTTTACTTAGGGTATTTTAAACTTTAATGTATATTTTTTTCCTCCTGGCAATACTATGTCACTTTGTGTTACTGTCATCAACAATGACTGAGAAGACACTCGTACTTGTCTCACTGCTGCAGAAGCCAAGGGACACTTTTATTCACCAACAGGTAGAACATGTAAGTCCCTCAAACCTCTGCTCATTAGATCTTTTCCTAATGAGCTGGCTCTTTTAATTAAGTTGCATAGTATGTATACATTTAATTCTGAACGGAGACCGCTGGTCTGGGTTTCTTAAAAGATGTTTGGGGGAACATATTATTTTTCATAGGGCTATTTCCAAGTCACCTTTGAGTTGACTTGCCCTAAGAATACAAATCAAACAGGGTAATTTTAGAAATCGTCACAAGGTCTGGCACGTTTGGATTCTGACTCTGTCAGAAGGAAGTAAACACTAGTAGGAAGACTGCAGTTAAAGCAAAACATCCAGCAGCGGGTCGGTTACCTGAGCACCGTGCATCTGTAGGGCTGGGGCCTTTGTGCTGGAAGTCCGTTCAGTGTTTAGTCCTTCCCACAGCCCCATGGATCAGAGCTATTATGATCTTCGTTTTGCAGATGGGCCCTCTAAGGTACATGGGAAGGGAGCATGTTGGGGATACAGCCAGTAAGGGGATAAACCAGAAAATGCAGGTGACAAAAGTCAGCCTGAGTCCCAACTCCTGACTAGGGTTCAGCCAATATGACCTGCCACCTGCTTTTCCAGTCCACCAGCTAGGAGTAATTTTTACCTTTTACTTATTTATCATTTATTTTTATTTTATTTTATTTTTTAATTTTTACCTTTTTAAATGGTTGCATTTTAAAGGATTCCATAAGTAACTACATAACCTTGATTTTTGCCTCTTGGCCTGCAAAGCTTAAGATGTTTATTATATAGGGGTGCCTGGACGGCTCAGTTGGTTAAGTCCGACTCTTGATTTCGACCTCAGGTCATGATCTTGCAGTTTCTGAGATCAAGCTCCTGATCTTGAATGATCAAGTTCCTGAGTTGGGCTCTGTGCTGACAGCATCGAGCCTGCTTGGGATTCTCTGTCCTCCCTGGTCACGTGCACTCTCTCTCTCTCTCAGTAAATAAATTTAAAAAAGATGTTTACTATTTAGCCCTTTATGAAAAAATTTTGCAACCCCTGCTCTCGACTACTAACTCAACTCCCTAAGACCGAAAAGGACTCTTTGTACTCAGATGGGAGTGTCAGGTAGGCCAGTGGTTCTCCAACATTAGCATGGGTCAGAATCATGGCGAGTCTTGTGGCAACACACGTCACTGGGCCCTGTCCCTGATGTCTGCAGTGGGACCAGAGCAGTGGCATTTTTAACAATCTCCCAGGGGGGCTGATGCCCCTGTTCCTCGGAACGCATGGCAAGCGTTGACTGAGTGAGGGAAATGGGAAGGAGAAATGGATGTTGGCCACGTGACTGCAAGAATGTCTCACTTCAGTCACTGACAGGAGCAGGCCCTGCAAGTTTGAGCCACAGGTTTGTAGAATGACAAAATTGTGCCTTAAGTGCAGAGCAGTCCTGTGTTGACAGTGAAGAATTTTAAAATGCAGGGACAAAAGCTGCATGAAAATGGAGATGGCTATACTTCAGAACTTTACTTTTTCCTCTTAAATATTTTCATCATTAATGTGGTTGACTATATACATTTAAACCCATTACTTATTTAAATGGTAGTAATTGGTATCAATTATTGATAACTTACTGTGTGTCAGTCTCTGTGCTAAACTCTTAAAATAATCCTATGGGGTTAGATAATAGTACCTCCATTTTAAAAGCAACTAAATGGAGAGCTAAGAACATGTTAAGAGCTGGAGAAGTAATTTCCCATCAAAGTCACTTGGCTGGTAAGTGGCCCCCGATCATTTAGACCCTTGTTCGTCATATAATGTCCCCATTACTCTCTTCACATCCCACCTTCACCCTCCTCCATGGCAACCACATGTGAATCCTGTCTTTCTTTTCAAGCTTAGGAACATATTACTCTGGGAAAAAAATGGCTCATTAGGTAAATTGTTATTAATGTTATTTTCCTAGCAAAAGCTTTTGATTCTAGTTTAACTGTCATGATTATTTTTAAAATTTGAATTATGGAAAAATTTTGCATAGAGAAAACACACCACTCACATTGGACAGATGCTAATGTTTTTATCACTGCTGCTCAAGAGATTTTTTTTTTTTTTAAGGAGAAAACACTAGAGAATTGCTAAGTTCCTAAATGTCTTTAGTCCTTCCTTTCCCACTCAGGATAATGCCTTGCTTTGTTTATGCATACTTATATATGTAGTAAAGGTACGAAAACTTGCAAGGGAAATCATCTATATCAGCTGCAGCAGGTGACATTATAATCAGTTATGTGTTGACAATTTATTAAGTACCCTGTGGAAATCAGATGAGAGAATGGTGTCCCTTGATCTTCCTGGGGATTTGCAGGC